TACTGCATTTTTGTTTTTTTCTTACGATAATTCAAAAATCTGTTCGGCCAATTTCGAAAAAAAAAATAACCACAGACAATGGGAAGGGGTCTAAACAAAAGGGTGTGAGATTCATCAAAATCGTCAAGAAAAAAAGAAAAAACAAAAAATAGAGTCCCCTTAATTGTCGCCCTGTTTCCTTACTCCTACAAGTGTCACCCTGTTTCCTTACTCCTACAAGTAAGTGTCACCCTATTTCTTTTTTTTTTTTGGGGGGGAGATCCTTTTGACACTAAGCATCCCTGTGGGTTTGACTCTCTCTAGTCTCTGTATCTTGATTGCCTGGACTGTCTTGGGGTTAGGGTTTTTTGCTTCTGTTTATTTGATGCTGTTTTGCCTGCCTAACCACATCCAATGGATGAGACCACTGTCAGGTATTTATTTGGTGGATGTGAAGTGTTTTACATACAGACCAATGGTTCCCTCACAGCATGACCACAGCAGTCATGTAGAATGAGCAACTGTGTGTGCTTTAACATACACTGCAAAAATGATTTTTCTAAGGACAGTGCTCTACCTCAGGTGCCAAGTCTTTGTGGCTTGGTCAGCTGGGTAGGTCATTAATTAATGAATTAATGTTTGAAAATAAATGTGCTAGACATCAAAGGTCATGTAGCACTATGGTAAAGTATTGTGTCAGAAAGGGCAGAGGAGAGTTAAAGATTACAATAAAATGTGTTAAATGTCAAAGGTTAAAGAACATTATAGGATAGCAGGGTAGTGAAAAGGGGGAATAGGGGAGCAAGTGAATTAGAGCAGAAATTACTATAAAGGGGAGGGTAGGGCAATTGAGTGAATTACAGTGTATCTGTCACTGGGGAAGGTATAGGAAAAATGTTTAAGGAAGAATAGAGATAGCTAGTGAAGAGTAAGAGAAGAATCTGGGGAGAGGGGAGGCTGTTAGATATCAAAGATTAGAGGGTATAGTAGGAGAGTATGGTAATGAAAAGGGAAAGGGGGGAAGTAAATGAAGTAGAGTAGTGATTAATAAGTGGGAAAGGTTAAGAAGGTAGAGCAATTAAATGAATTGCATTGTATCTGTGACTGAGGAAGGAATAGGGATAATAGGTGACAACGGTAGATATGGGAGCGGTGTTCCCTTGGGTCATCCTCGGAAGTTTTGGATGTCTTCAAGTGTTTCTGAAGGGGAATTTGGTATAGAGGACTGAGAAACAAAGGTTCTTTTATAAGGAGGAGAAGAGGAGATGGATATCTGAGGAACATATGAAAAGGATGGTGTAGGAGAGAATGTAGTAGGAGAGTTTGCAGTGGAACGTTTAGGTTGCCTGGTACGACAACTAAAGTAAGGAGGAGGTGTAGGTATCCGGGAAGTGGTAGAGATTGGAGTATCTGGATTTAGGATGGAAAATGGATTTGACTGGTGGATAGGGTGAGCAGACATAGGATATAGGTTTTGGGTATTGGGGAAAGATACTTGGGGAGATGCAGAAATATCTTGAGGGTACAAATATTTTGGAATAAGTTGTGAGAAAAACCTTGTCGTCATGCTTCTTGTCTGGCCTCACATAAAGTGAGTCCTAGATTAAATCTGAGGACTGCTACCTCACATTATAGGTAGGACAGCTCCTATAAAACACATTATGGGAGTCTCCATAATTAGAACATGTACGTGACTGAAGCGGGCAATTTGAACGGTCAGGTTGGGCACATGGAGGACAGCAGGCTGTGGAGTGACAATGTTTGGCTAGGTGGCCAAAACGCCAACATTTTTGACATGGACGAGGAAGGGGTCAATATTGTCGGGCATGATAAGACAATCCACCAATATAAACCTCATGGGGGAGCTCTTGTCTATGGAAGCTAATCTTGGCAATATTGATGTGGGATTTACATTGGCCTCTGGGAGGAAGAGTGTAACATTGTACTGCCAATGCATCATATTCACCAAGGCAGGAAAGTAGTTCATTTTCACAATCTGACCAGTCCTTTTTATACATGGGACAAGCATTTGGGGGAATAGAAACAGTTCCAGTACAAGTATTAAGATTTGGATGAGGTTCAGCAGGAATGGGTTTGCCAGCAAGGTCAGTTAGGGTAGATAGTGCATGAGCTTGGGCTTCAGATGTAACCATGACAAGGTGTGAACAATTAGTTCGACTAGAGAATGTTGGGGATGAGAAAGAGGTGTTTTCTAGGGGTTGGTTAATAACCTGGGTGGGTGTTTCAGAATGGTTAGAATTGTTCCTAAGCGACAAAGAGGGGATATTAGCATCAATGGTTAGAGCCGTGGTCAAAGGAGGGGCTGGGGTCAGAAAACCATCAAAATCAAATTCATATAGGCTATTTGATGAAGGGGCAAGCCTTAATGCCTCTATTAAGGGTAAAGAATCTTCATTTCTGGCCATGGTGAGCCTGAATAAACTGGGGAAAAGAAATGGTTGCCTTTAGCTTGAGGAAGTTTTTTCTATATACCTATCATCAAACAAATAAGGATACTGAT